TAGGCCTGGGGGCTGGGGGCACAGTGAGCACAGGGCCCTGCTTCAGGCTCCGGGGATTACTCAAAGACTGAGCCAGAACCATGTGATGTAGGCCTGCCTCCTACCAGCTTCAGCAATGAGGAAATAAATGACTGGCGCCCACAACCCGATAATCTAGCGCCTTCTCTGCCCTCAGTTCTAGGAGCCCTAACAAGGCCACTGGGGCTTTGTCTGGACCAGGGTCACAGCGCTGCTTCTCTGAGTATGGGCCTCCTGTCCAGCTGCCCCGGGCTAGAGAGGGCTTCAGCCCCAGTCCCTGTGAGAAATAGTTCTCATTGGTCAGTGTGGATCATGTGGCCACCAGCCAACAGGGAGGGACTATGCTGATTGGCCAGTCTGTGGTTCATATTCACCCGCCAACCCCGAAAGAGTCAGGGTTCCCTAACCAGAGGAAAGGATGGGGTTTCTGGGAGGCAGGAGTGGCCAGCCACACCCCACCCCCACCACTGCCTTGCTGTGAAGTCCTTGGGTCTTCAGGACTGGGGCAACTCACATGGGGTCCAAGCGCAGACCCTAAAAACTAATGGTACTGTGACAATACACTAGTCACTCTAAAGAAATAAGTTAAAAAGTCTGAGGGTGCAGGGGGCTGGTCTTATTGTGCAGATAACGTTGCAACATTGTGTGGAAAGGCGACAAGCAATGAGAACCAAAAAAAAAAGGGGGTGTGGTGTGTGCAATGGCCCGGTGCACACAAGTGTGGGGTTGCTAGGAGGGCTGGGGCCCCGAGGGAGAGAGTTTGGCTCCCACGTGGAAGTTTGACCAGAAGGGTAACTAATGGGGCATGTTAAGTAAGGGGCACCACCCGTGAGCAGTTTCTTTTGGCCATGGCAGGTTCCATGGCCACCCGTATGAAATCACTCAGCAAATTTAAAACTATAGCCTCAGGCGTTGTTTTCAGCAGCTACGCCCCTGCTTGGACCTCAGTCCATGAAATCAAAGCCAGGGTCTCAGCTGCCCCAACTGGGAACCACCTGCGCCAGCTGGGGTCCTGTGGCTTCGAAAGATCCAAGGCCCACCCAGCTTTTTCCTGTTGTGGCTTCTTCTCCCACCTCCAGCTGCACAGGCCAGACCTCATCCAACCTGCCTGGTATCTTTACAGAGGTGTGGTGTGGAGGGGGCTTCCCTGAACAGGGTGTTCTGAGCAGGTCTCCTCCAGAACCTCCAAGGGTGGGTCCATGCCTCAGCCTTGGCACTGTACGATGCTCAGAAGCCCCGAGAAGCTTGCATTCCATTCCAGGAAGCATGTTTGGGTACACAATAGAGAATTTGTGAAGTGTGGACTCTAGGGATTGCACCTTTTTCCCCCCCCCCCACCTTTCTTTCTCTTTTCTTTTTTTTTTGATCTCCACTTTTCTCCACCTGGTACGGTACATTTAGTAAAGAACTGAGGCTTACGGAGGCCAGGGTGTCTTCTGTTCCTAAGCCTCTCTGTTTAGCGCCCTGTGGTTCTGGATGGCTTGGGTCAGGCTGAGGAAAGTCAGGCTGCGGGCTGCCCAAGTACAGCCTCAAGGGAGGACCTTGAGGTGCAGGAGGCACTCTGGCCCGTAAGACTCCTTATTCCTTCTGATGTGAGCCCTGGTGCATGGCTAGCCTTACCTGTCACCCTGGGAAGTGGCATGAGGGTGAGAGGCCTGGCAGGTCCAAGGGGCAGCAGCGAATGGAGCCTGTAAAGGGGCCTGTTGGCAGGCTCGTTCCATACAGTGGAGATTAGTCACCAGTATTCGGACAATCCTGCGACTTACCGCCTCTGAAGACCTGATGGGGAGCCAGCTATGAGTGATTTCCAACTCAGTGATACATAACAACACCATTTTGCAATCTGAATCTTTGTATGTTCTCATTGTTATGTGCTGGCAAGTCAGAACCGACTCATAGCTGACTCTCAGATAGATGTCCAGTCTTTCTCCCATTGAGCAGCTGGTGGATTTGAATCGTGTGCCTTAGGGTTGACAGTGTGGCGTCTTACACCAGAGCTCCCTAAATATTTATTTCTTTATATTTTCTATATATTTTCTTTAGTTCTCTATAAATTTCTTTCTTTTGACTTTCCCCCCTGAAATCTTAGAATACCCAGCCATGTGAGGCTGGAGATGAGCTCTCCCAAGCCTGGAATTCAGAGCCTTGTATCTAGGGCTCAAGGTTTCCCCCATCTGCTTCATCCCTTACCAGATGAGGGTGGCAGCCAAGACAAAGAAAGTGTCCACCTTAGCTCAGTGCCTATTGTTCCCAACCAGGTATCCTGTGGGCATGGCGTTGGTGAGGGGAGAGTGTGGCAGCTGGGAAGCCCGGGCCCTGGAGTGCCCTTTGCATCATCAGCAACACTTAACCCTTTTGTGCTGTGCTGCTTACTGTGGGAGCCACAAGACAGGGGTCCTTCCAGGGAAAGGCTGGTCTCAGGGCAGGGGGTAGGAAGCTGCCTAGGGCCCTGGACATGGTGTGGCATTGCACCTGGTGCCTTGGGCATGGTACCAGCAGTGGTGGGCACAGTGATGGTTGCCTGTAGTGAGCACAGTACTCATTGGGCTTCCTAGCCGTTCACCTCTTTCAGAAGAGGAACATGAGGTTAGCGTAGCCTAGCCAGTGCCCTGTGCATGGTGATGGCAGGTGGGAAGTTACACCTCCCAGAAGTGCAGTTTCTAAGGGGGCAGAACTGCCTGGGTGTGCACCTTGGCCACCTTCCCATCATGATGTTGTTAGATGCAGTTGACCGTGACTCGTGGCGACCCCATGGACAACAGATCTGAACCTTGGCCTATCCTGTACCGTCCTCATCATCTCTGATATGCTTGACCCAATTGTAGTCATTGTGTCAGTCTGTCTTGTTGAGGGTCTTGGACCAAAAATCAGCCCCTAAAGCTCACACTCACCCTAAATTATCAGCTGGCATGTCCCTCCTTGCCCTTCCTGGCTGAGAACCCAGGGCCTCAGCTATGGTGACAGGCCTTGGCCTAATGGGGAGTGGGCAGCTCCATGGGCTGACTCTTTGCCAGGCATGAAGAGATATGAAGGACGGATCTAGGATGCTGGAGCCCAGGCAGAAGGGTCCAAGGCTGAAGTCAGGGCTAGGAGATCCTCTGTCCTTGGGAAAGGAGACGAAGGAGGCCGGCCCTGAGGAGGCAACATCAGCCAGGCCTTGAAGGCCAATTACAATGGGCAGAGCTAGAAGCACCACAGCAAGCAGATGGCACATCCCTGTGGTAGCCATATCAAGCAGGCCTCAGGTCAGGGGGGGTGCAGGGGTCACCAGAGTGATCATCAGGCCTGTAATGTAAAAGGGAGTATGATCATGGGAATCCAGTGCTGAAGACAAGAGGGCAACCCTGGAGGCTGGACTCCAGAGGGGTGTGATATGAGAAGCTGTGGGGCAGGTGGTGGGTGCCCCATTCCTCTGATTCACTTCCTGAGCCCCCCACAGGGTTCTGTGATGGTCCTCTGTAGTCCCACAGTAGGCCTGCACCTTGATTGGCATCACGGCTCTATGTCCCAATCTGGAGCAGAGCTAGCACACAGTAGGTGCTCAGTTAATGCTGCTGGTAGCTTGTTCCATCTACAAATGCTCCGGTGCTGCAGATTTTGCTAGAAGAAAGCCAGCCCCATCTGTGAGTTAGGAGGGGGAGGAGGGACATGCAGCGAGGTCAAGGAGGTAGCGGGGGCCAGCCTAACCTGGGGGACTCTGCTCTCTGCTGCGGGCTGATTGGAGGGGTGGGGTAAGCGGAGCCTTGAGCCGCTTTGCAGAAGGATGCAGCGGAGCCAGGTTGCCGGGAGGAGGAGGAAGGAAAGGAGAAGGAGGAGGCTTGCCTGGCCCAGAGGACCTGCTGCAGCTGAGGGGGAGGGGTGCCCTGTGCTGCAGCCTTGCCCATCCCCCTCTGCCCGGGGCCTGGCTGCTTGATGGGCAACTCGACCCCGCCCTCCCGGCAGCAGGGAGGCAAGGGATTGGCTGAGGCGCTGGAGCCTCTCAGTCGCCATGGGGACGCTCAGGAGGCGCGCGTGCCCAGTGCCCAGCACGGGGACTAAATCTTCATAATCTTCTGGCTGAGTGGGTGGGTGGGGGTGGAGTCCCACGCGACCCTACTCTGGGCAGAGGGGTGGTCAGAGCTCACGGTCGCGCTCTCCACCCTCACCAACAGTGGGTGCACGTGCAGAGTTGCCCAGGAACCAGGTGCCCCAGACCATGGGGTACACTCTCCTGACATCCACCCTGGGGCCCGAGTTTAGCATCTGCTGCTGCTTCCTCTGCTGATCCTGCAGCCTTACAGACCTGCGGGCTGGGACGGCGAGGAGAGGGCCTGGGCTTCATCAGAATCTGATAAATCGCCCTAAAGTTTGTTCCTCCAGGTCCTCTCCGCAGTGCCGGGATCTGCCAGCAGGGGGCGCGCTCCGCAGCGCCTTGTCAAAGTTGTCAGCGCTCAAGGCAGCAGGGGCAGCCCATTGAGGTGCAGAGGCTTTGCAGCCCTGGCCGAGGTCCCCAGGGTCACATGGCCACACGCAGCAGGCAGGTCGAGGGCGCACTGTGCTTGTGCGTGGGCCACATGGGAGGTGGCACGGCAGAGTCTTCAGCAGCCGATCCATACCTCCCTCCAAGCAAGAGAAATTTAAGAGTTCAAGAGAGTTAGGGTGCAAAGAAGCAAGGCTGTGGAGAAATGGAAGAAGAGGGCCCTTGTGGGAAGCTGGAATGGGTGCAGCAGCGTTCAGAGACCTCTGGCAGGTAAAGCCTGGTAAACTATCCAGTCAGCCCCTGAGGCCAGATGTGCTGTTTTGAGGTTCAGGTGCAGAAGGGGAACCCTGATGCCTACACATTCTCGCCTGCTGTTCTGGCAGAGGAAGCTAGCACGTCTTGGTGAGGCTGTGCCTCTCAGAGCTTCAAACAGCTCACCTACCCAGGGGTGTTTGGGGAGGCAGGAGTCCATGAGGGGACAGAGGGGCCTGGTGAGCCCTCACGCCCAGGCCTCTCTTTCCAGATGACTCCTCTTCTGAAAGTGGCAGCGGCAATGGCTCATCCACCCTGAACCCGTCCACATCGAGCAGCACGCAGGGTGACCCCGCCTTCCCCGAAATGAATGGCAACGGAGCCGTGGCCCCCATGGACTTCACTGCCACCGCCGAGGACCAGCCCATCAACCTGTGTGACAAGCTGCCCCCGAGCACAGCCCTCGGCACACCCTCCTACCCCTCTGACAGCTGCAGCGCTGATGGGCTGCGGAGTCGTGTCAAGTACGGGGTGAAGACCACTCCCGAGGTGTGTGGGGCAGTGGGTGGGCGGGAGGGTGGGCAGTGTCCCCCAGCGCGGGGGCACCATTTCCTTCCATGGACTGTAGGGTGTCGTGAGGCAAGCATGATGGTGTGCATGGCCACTGTGTGTGACACCAGGTCAGGGTGGTGGCCTGGGCTGTTGTGGTATTGTTTTCCTCACCTTGAGCCAGCCCCCCTACTTCACTGAGATGGTTCCCCATTTCTGCAGTGGGCTTGATGGACCTCCCCTTGGTGGAGGTGGTAGTGGCTGGGCTGATGAAGAAGTGTGACACAAATCACTAGTGGCCTTGTTTTGCACAAAACCACCCACACAAAGTCTCACCTGCCCAGTGACCTGCACACAGAGAGCAGAACAGATGTCAGGCCAGTGCATTGTGCTCCCATTCTACAGATGACGCAGAGGAGGATGGGGCCTTTGTGGGTGGGCTCAGGCTCTGGGTGGACAAGACTCCCACCCAGCTAGGTAAGGTGGATGAGGAAGGGGTGGGCAGGGCAGCCAGAGCCCCACCTGCTTCCTGGGATTCCCTGTGAGCCTGCCTCCACCTCTCGGCCTTCCAGGGGCTGGGGGCCCCTGAGGTCCAGGGGCATTGTCTCCCACCAGGAGGAGGACACACCCACATCCTGTACCCCCAGACAGGGCCTTCCCCTCCCTGGGCCCCATGTCTCCTGCAGAGGGGGTGCTTGCCTGGCCTCAGACACCACAGGCTCACTAGCATTTGGTCTGTGCCCTCTTGGCCATGGGAGCCAAGCTGAGAGAGGCACTGTCCCTCACCTTTGACCCTACCAGGGGCAGGCTTAGCTGCTGTCCTCAGTGAGCAAAGGGCTAGAAAGGAGCTGGCCCAGTGGGACCCTCTGGCCACTGCCACCCAGGACTTTGGGGGCCATGGAGTAACAGAACAGGAGTTCCACTTTTAACTCCTCTGACCTGGAAGAGCATTTGACTGAGGACTTGCTTGCTGGGCACTACAGTTTGCCCAGGGTCGCAGAGCCACCAATTTGCCATATGGAACCCCTCTGAAACGCTCACATGACCAGAGAAGTTGAGGGGACCCTGAGGATAGTACAGCTGCGTGGCTGACCCTTACGTGTGGCTTGTGGCTGTGACGAGAAAAGTTAGAGAGCAAGATGCCAGAGCATCTTGGGAAGGGGGCGTGAGCTTCTGTGGGTGGTCTGGTGTCAGCTGTCGTTGATTTGCTGCTCTAGAGGCACTGTGGGCCCCTGGCATTGCCACATCCCAGGGCTGACTGGACAGCTGTTGGCTTGCTAGGCCAATTTAGTTGCCAGATGCTGACCTCCTGGAGAACAGGGACAGTGTCTCCAGGACACTGGCTTGTCAGTGTCAAACGAGTGAAGCTGAGACATACTAAAGGTGTGAGCTTCCTAGAAGACAAATGAATGTGCTCCCCAGAGTGAGCAGGAGCGTAGGGACAGGGCTATGAGGGCAAGGAAGCAGAGGATGAGGGGACATGTGTTTATGGGGGACAGGACAGAGAGGCCTGAGCGGGCGCTGGCCAGGAGGAGCTGGTGAGTGGACCTGGAAGGCCTGGCCCTTTTCTCCATAGTCTGGGGGCCTGGGGGCTCCCTCTCCCTGGTCTGTACACTGCACTGGGGCTCATGGGCAGAACCAGAGGTGAACAGACGGGCCCCCTGGCCAGAGAGCAGCTGGAGCATACTTTGTATAATTGTCCTGCCTTCTTGGCTGTCCCCTCCTGCCCATCTGTTCCTCTTCTCTAGTAGACAGCACACTTGGTGCTGCGGTGACAGCTCAGTTGTCAACTCGGGGTGACAGCCCCTTAGGGATCAGGGAGGAAAACCCCAAAGCCAGACAGCTCTTGGTAGGAGGCAGAGAGGCTGGCTGGTGGGAATCATTGACATAGTGGCCTTTCTCTTGAGCAGAGCAACAGGTCCCTCCAACTGAGTCCACGCTCACCCCCTCCGCCAGGCCCCTCCTGAGAACCCGGGCCTCTGCACACACCTGGGGGGCCTCCATTGTGTCCTCGTCACCAGTGATGGAATGAGATTTGTGTGGAGGCTCACAGCCATCAGTCCCCAGGCGTGTCACCTGCAGATCCCATTGGAGCCCCCGTGGCATTGGCTTGACGCCCCCTCTGCCCTCTTCCAGTCACCCCCCTACAGCTCTGGAAGCTACGATTCCATCAAGACGGAGGTCAGCGGCTGCCCTGAGGACCTGACCGTGGGCAGGGTGCCCACCGCGGATGAGGACGACGATGACCATGATGACCACGAGGACAATGACAAGATAAACGACTCGGAGGGCATGGACCCCGAGCGCCTCAAGGCCTTCAACGTGAGCGTGGCAGCCGGTGGAAGCGGGCGGGTGACCGGGGTGGGGGACCACGGCCAGGCCTGGATTCACACACACACCCCTGCAGATGTTCGTGCGTCTCTTTGTGGACGAGAACCTGGACCGCATGGTGCCCATCTCCAAGCAGCCCAAGGAGAAGATCCAGGCCATCATCGAGTCGTGCAGCCGGCAGTTTCCCGAGTTCCAGGAGCGAGCCCGCAAGCGCATCCGCACGTACCTCAAGTCCTGCCGGCGCATGAAGAAGAACGGCATGGAGATGGTGAGCCGGCACCCACCCCAGACTTCTCCCCCCACTCTCCCAGGAAAGCAGGTGTGGCCATCCCTGTTTCCAGAAGGTGGGATCTAAGGCACAGACAGACCCTGTAACCATACTGTTACTGATCAGAGCTGAGCCTGACCCGAGGCTGCCCAGCCTGTCTGCCTTCGGGCCAGCAAGAGCCCCGCACTGACTCCTTCCCCTCTGCCCCAGACCAGACCCACTCCTCCCCACCTGACCTCTGCCATGGCTGAGAACATCCTGGCCGCTGCCTGTGAGAGCGAGACAAGGAAAGCAGCTAAAAGGATGCGCCTGGAGATCTACCAGTCCTCGCAGGTACGGCTGCCCAGCGCCTCTCTGTGCCAGCCTGGAGTGGCTGGGGAGGCCGAAGCGCAGATGGGTTTGAGCAGTGGGAGCTGTGATGGGCTGGGAGCAGGAGGGCTCCCCACATGACCCAAGTCCAGGAGAGCAGTGCCAGGGGTGGGAGGAGGTGGGAGGAGCCAAATTACCATGAGCCTTGAAGGCAGAGAAGCGGGCTCCTGTCTTCATCCCAGAAGCCTCTGCAGCTGGGCAGTGACTGGGCGGGTCTGCCTCACTGAGAAGTGAAAGGAGCCCAGGGATCTTGACAACCAGGCAGATGGAGCAGACAGGGTTCCACAAGTCACGTAGCCCAGGTCTCAGGGACCTTCGTCCGCCTCACGTCCAGCGCCACCCTGTCCCCTCTGCAGGACGAGCCCATAGCCTTGGACAAGCAGCACTCCCGGGACTCCGCAGCCATCACCCACTCCACGTACTCACTGCCACCCTCCTCCTACTCCCAGGACCCCGTGTACGTCAACGGCGGCCTCAACTACAGTTACCGCAGTTACGGGGCCTTGGGCAGCAACCTGCAGCCCTCTGCGTCCCTCCAAACAGGAAATCACAGTAATGGTGAGTGGATGCCATGACCAGCTCCGGGCCAGCGGGCAGGGTAGGCAGGAGAGGTGCTCTTCATTGGTGGAAAGATCAGAGGCAAGGGAGGAAAGGGACCCTAGAATGCCCCTCTGGAGACCTTGACCATCAGAGATGTGGTAAGTTTGAAACAGACCAAGGGGAATCTGTCACCCCCAGGGACCCTGGCTCCACTGCCTCTTGCATGGCACTGCGGCAGCGTCTCCCGGGTCCCGCTCCCTGAGGGACTTTGTGCCACAGCTAGGTCACTGCGGACAGAGAGCTCACCTGTGCTGGTCCCCTCTAACCTCGCCAAAGATGGGACTGGGGACCCCCCCATTTCCACTCTGTGACTGAGCCACTGGCTTGAGTCACACTGAGATGGTGGCAGAACGAGGACTTGATCCAGGCCTGGTCCAGAGCACTCTGGGCAGGTGACACCCCTCCCTAGGCCCCCTTTTGTGCGGGGCCTCGGTCCACGCCCTCACCTCGGCACCCACTTACTTCCAAGTCCTCAGGAGTGACTGATGGTCAAAATCCATTCCCTGAACTCTGTGCCCATAATAGCACAGGTAACCGACATAGATGGAGCTGTTCCTGGAGAGATACTGACCCAAGACAGAGATGTTGTTGCTGTGCTGGGGGCCCCGGCGTAGCAGGAGTCAGAGTGGGGCTCAGTTGGGGGGCTGGTGGACTGCATGCAGATGGCTCTGGAGCAGGACTGGGGAAGGGAGTGAAGAGGGGACCTGTGACCTCTTGGGCTCAGCATTTGGGTTTTGTTCTGCGTACAGTGGAGGCTGGTGGGTTTGAAGCAAAGGGAGGGCCACACTTCCACCTGCACTGATTAGATTTCACTATGGGGAGGGGGCAAGGGTCAGAGCCCTGGGGTCAGAGAGGGCATGAAGAGAAACATGAGGGTGATACCAAGGGGCCGCTTGAGATTGGAGGGAGGCCCTACACCACCACCACACGCCCCTTCCCCCCACCCCAGGAATTAAGTCACAATGAACAAGCCTAAGAGGCCCCCTCAAGCCCTTATTGGCTGCAGGACCTCAGGATCCCTTAACTATTCTTATTCCAGGTGGGGCAAAAGGGGCCTGGTCCCCTTCCCCGCCCCAGCTCTCAGGCCTGAGGGCCCTGGAAGGAGGGCCAGCTCCCTGGAGCATCCTACCCAGGCTTAACTTCTCATCCCTCCCTAATGCCTCTTAACCTGAAAGAAGAGGCTGCCTGGCCCTAATCCCTGAAGCTAAGGCCATCGGGCCGCCTGCAGCCAGGGGCACCCCTGTCCCAGGGAACAGTTCTCCTCCAAGGGAAAGCTTTGCCCTGGACAGTCCTGACGAGCAGAGCCTGTGGAAAGGTCAAGAGATCTGGGGTCCCCTGGCCTCCCCCCGGGATGGGGCCTCTTTACATCTGCTGGAAGGTCCACTTCTACGTGATCCAGGGCCTTCATTTCCCATCTGTGGGCTCCCCTGGTTCCTTCCAAGTCAGGTCCCTGGGTCAGCTTGTGCCCTGTGAACCCAAGTATGTCTTGACCCAAAGAACATTTTTTAAATCTGGATTTTCATCCAGGGGTGGAGCTAGAGCAGCCCACAGTGCCCAGCCCTCTGGATCTCAGCTGGCACCTCGTTCTCACAGCCGATTCTGGCTGGCTCAGAGCACCCCGCTTTGCTCATTAGTGTCAGCTGGAGACGTGATCTCTCTAGATGGACTTGGACCCTGCTGGTCTTGCCTGGGGTGCTGGGCCACTCGGGACTCCCCTGCCCACCCGGTGATTCCCAAGTCACTCAAACCCGAGTCTAGCTGTCGCTAGAGCAGGGCTGTGAAGATTCCTCCAGATCAGACTGGCGGCCAGGATACCATCTCCTTGCTGGGCTTCACCACAGCCCGAAGGAGAAGCAGGAAAGGGGAAGCCAGGGATCATGGGACCTCGCCGCACAAAGCCACCCCACAGGGAACCAGCGAGACCCTTCCCTCACCCTCCCAGAGCCACAGGCCAGCCCTACTCCCAGGTTCCCTAACACTGGAATCCACTGCTTGCTGTACCCCAAACCCCAGCACCACTCCTAGCTTCTGCACTTGATTTTTAAGAGACGTAGCTACTTCCTTGCTGTCAGTACCAAGGACATTCCTGAGGGAGCCAGCCCTAGGGCATCCTCCTTGACGTCCAGTCTCTGGAGGAAATACACCCCTGCGAGGCGCCGTCCCATCTTACGCTCCAGCTTTCTTCCCCGGGACGCGCCAGCCTGGCTGTGGTGGGAGTCGAGTTTCCTTGGTTTTTCTCAGCCATGACCGCTGGTCTCCACGACTTCCCGGGCAGGAGCACGAGCATCTCGATGGCACAGCAGAGCTGCCACGCTGGCTGCCAGCAGAGCCCACAGCTGTGGGAGGGCGGCCAGGCACAGCCTCGCACACTCACATGAGAAAGCAGGGTGAGGGCCCAGTGGGGAGGATGAGACCCAGGGAGGCTGCCCCCGAAAAGCCCCAGCACCCACCTACGCCGCGATCTTCCCTTCTCGGCTGGCTGCTTGCTGGGCATCTTGTAGGAACACTTTTCAAATGCCAGTCAGGAAATTCCAAACCCCGTTTGGGAGCCCTTTCCTAAGGGGCTGGCATACGGAGCCGGGTCTCCTGAAACTGGTGAGGACCGAGGCTCAGGCTCCTCTCCGCAGGCCCTTGTGACAGCCTCCTTGTTCTGTGGCTGCATGTGACAAAGGCAGTGCCTGTCACTGAATCCAAGCTCATCTGATCCCACTGCCAGCGAACCTCCCAAAGGCTGAGCAGACAGGGCCTGGTGACCCCACCACCCCCAGCATGCACCAGTAACCTCACATTCCTTCTGCTGCCACCATTGAAGAGTAAAGAGGCGCTGAGTTCAGACAGACCTCTGTGACCTGGCCCAGCGCTCCCATCCTCCCCTCTCACTGGGGCCGCTATCTTCTGGCCCAAAGAATATTCACAGTAAGAGGACTCCAGATCCCGAGGCTCCTCAGAAGGGGGGTTTGACTCACCCCACTCTTCCTCACAGGCACTGTTGGTTTCTCCTTTGCAAGGGTGCCCCTTCCCCCCAGTTTGCCAGGAAGGTGGCCCATTTCCCTGCCCTGCAGCTCAGCAGGGCCCTTGCGAGGTGGTGTGTAGGTGGCTGCTGCTGCTGCCCTTGGCCCCTGGTGGCTCCACCCTGGAGGACTCCGGGTTTTCCGCACACAGAGCCTGCCTGAGGGATTGGCCCCACTCCCCCAGCCTGCTGTCTTTGGGGGAGGCATGTCGAGAGTCAGGGCTGCAGCCAGGCCAGGAGGAGAGGGCAGTCCCTTTGCCCAGGCTGCCAGTGCCGCTGGTGCTGGGAGCAGGAGGGGAGCATCATCTATCTAACCGGTCTCAGAGAAAGGGGTGTGCTTGGTGCCAGGGCACTGCGTCCCTTGTCCCGGACCGCATGCTCCAAATGCAGAGCTGCCATGCACACATTCTTTGTGATCTTGGGCAGACCTCAGTCACCCTCCCAGACCTGTCACTGCGTGGCAGTGTTGTTACATGCTGTCAAGTTGGAACCCACTAATAGATGACCCTACAGCAGGTTTTCAGAGGCTGTAAGTTGCAAAGAAGGAGATTTCCTATCTTTCTCCTGAGAAGGATGGATTCAAATCACCTGCCTTTGGGCTGGCTGCTCAGTTCCTTACCCCCTAGGCTGGGAGAGCTCTGGTGGCCTGGTGGTAAGAAGCTGCACTGCAGTTCCCAAGGCATGCAGTTCGAATCCACCTGCTGCTCTGCAGGAAGCTAGGCAAGCATCTCCTGTGCGATTTACTGTCTGAAAACCTGCTGGAGCCAGCTATGCATTGATTCCCACTTGGTGGCAAACAGTAGGCTGTGACAATGAGAAGGATTTAATGAGACCCTCCAAGCCCTGCACCTGCTGCCCCCCCCACCCCGTCCAGGCACGAGGGTGACAACCACAGTGAGTCCAGGGCCTGTCCCTTAGCTGGCACCAAGACACGTCGCCCTTCCAGCCGCCTCAACCCCTCTCCCTCCGCAGGGCCCACAGACCTCAGCATGAAAGGCGGGGCCTCCACCACCTCCACCACGCCCACCCCCACGCCCTCCAGCAACAGCACCAGCAGGACCATGCCCACCGCCCAGCTCAGCCCCACGGAGATCAGTGCAGTGCGGCAGCTCATCGCTGGCTACCGGGAGTCCGCCGCCTTCCTCCTGCGCTCCGCCGACGAACTAGAGAACCTCATTTTACAGCAGAACTGACCGCACCCGGAGTGCACAGGCCCGCAGAGGAGGCCGCCTGGACCCGGCATCCTGCCTCGCCAGTTGGTACACTTTGTTCTTGAGAGGTGGGATCCCAAAAAGCTGTTTCTAGCCACACTCCAAGCACCTGAGACTTTGGGCACAAGGACACTTTTTTTGTTGTTTGGTTTTTGGGAATCTCGCCACACGGGTGCTCTGCCCTGCTTGGAAGAGGCCACGGGCAGCTTTGGACAGGCTGGGCGCCTGACTCGGCGCTGGGCCGCAGCTCTGTCTAGGATAACTTTTGTGGACCCTGATGTTAGAATCCTGCCCCAGATAATTTACCTTGCAAGTCTTAGGTGAGCAGAATTGCATATTTATTGAGAAAAGCAAAGTGGACCCTCTCTTCCTCTACCCTTAGTAATTTATTTTTCTGAAAACGGATTCTTTTGTGTTTGTACAGATTGCCAGTCTGTGTCTGTCTGATCAGAAAGGTGTGTCCCTGTGACCTAACATTCCATAGCACTACACTGACGTGGGCCAGGCCTGCGGGGCCAGGTGGCCCTCAGAACGCACAGCGACCCCTTGAAGGGGCTGCTGTTCGCGCAGGAGGGCCTCTCATTGCAAAGCAAAAACAAACAAGGCGCCCCCACCCCATGCTCTGGAAGCCCCAGCCCCACAGTCACCCGTATTCTACCTCACACTCCAGCGTGGGCTTTTTCCAGGACGTGCGCTGAGCCTGTTCCGAGTGGCTGTCCCCTTCTCCCCTGCACAGTGTCTGCCTGCCTGGGAGGTAAGTCCAGAAGACTGCAGGTCCAGGAGCTGAGGTGGGGGCCTGCCGGGGGAACTGCCACCTGCAGCCCCTGGCCCTGTCCTCTCAGCTGCTCTAGGGGACAAGCCAGACAGCAGGGCCTTTTGCCCTAATCTTGCTCCCACAGTTGAGGGTCCTGGGACCCCCTGCTGAGAAGGGCCCATTTATTCAGGGGGAGGACAGGCACTGCTGCGCTCTGGGACACTGCGGTGCTGGCTCCTTGCCCTGTGTTGGATAAAGGGACTGTCAACCAAAGTGGAGAAGCCACTTGGGTGCACTGGGACCGGCCCTTCTGGAGGCCCCAGTCCTGGAACAAACCCATAATCCCTGGAGTGTGAAAAAGGGCAACACGCAAGGCTGGCCTGGTTTCCTTCCTCCCTGATAGGCACTTCCTCTTGCTCAGTGCAATACCTACCAGTGCTGCTAAAACCAGGGACTCCCCGGGCCGCAGAAGGCCCGGGGCCTCTCCACGCACCACATTCTGTAGCCATGACCCGCGGGCCCGCGGTGCGCACAGGCGCCACCCTGCCCGTCCCTGCCCAGGTGGCAGAGCCCCTCTGTTGCCTTCCCCCCTCCAAGCAGAGATCCCTGGGGAGTGGGGACCGCAGCCCTCAAGACAGTAGCCACAGAGAGCCACTGGGTCCTAGGGCAGGCAGCCCCCCCCCCCATTCCAAGCCAGCTCTCCTGCAGCCTGTGGTTGCTGAGGCCACGACTCCGGCACGTGGCAGACATCCCTCAGAGGGAGGGGGACAGTGTGGATGCCCCAACCTGCCTTGGATCTGGGACTGAGCTGTGGGTGTTAGAAAGTTAGGGTGCCCCCACCCCAAGCTTGCTTCCAGCCCTCTAAAGGGTGGGGTGGTCTTTTCTCTCTCAAGTGGCCTCCAACACCCCACCTAGCCACACACCTTCTGCCTTCCTACCATCTGACCAGTTTCCAGGCCTCCACTCCGGTCAGGGCCAGGATCCCCGAGACGCACCCTTAGCACAGCACAAACTCCAGTGCCCGCAGCCCCTCTTGAAGCCCCGCCACCCACCTGCCCAGCCCCATGCCACTCCGACTTATTCCCGGACATTTGAATTTGTGTAAATATTTATTTTTGTGTGTGAACAATACTATGAAGTTATCAGTAGATCTTTTGCAAAATGTTACCCCAGGCAATTTGTGAAAATCTTCATGTTAAAAAAAAAATGGCAGAGACAATCGCCGCCTTAGAATTCTTGTTCTCAATTGCTTCACGTGTCATTTTTCCTCCCAGAGGCAGTACCCATGTGAGACACCAGTGGTTTGCATTTCTAGGCAGACAGGAGTGAGAAAGATTGGGGAGGGGCGCCCTGCCCCACACAAGGGATTTCACTCCTAGATCTGCCACATAAGCTATTGTACAGTTTGAAGTCAAAGTTTTCTGAGTTCAAGCTGTTGTCACCACCTCCAGCTGCCTCAGTACTAAGAGCAGGAGAGCATAGGTCCCCTGTTTTAGAGAAAGGTTGCCAGTAGGGAAAGCCCTTCAGGGCACCCAGCGGCCACTCCAGGACACTGGATCTGCCATCAGCCCCACCTCTCCTGTGGGCTCCCTGTCAGGGGTGCTGCACCTGGGGCCCTGGCGATGGCAGCTTCAGGAGCATGTTCCATGGAAATAGGATTCCACTCACGGGTTCAGTCAGGGAACTTGTTCTGTTATGCTTCTGTGGTAACAGTGTGGCCCCCTTCCCTCTCCTCCTGGCTTAGCACCGAGCTGGTCCCACCCCACTCCAGGGCCTGCCTTCTCCCACTGGGGGAGTGTCCCAGGCCTGCCCGTCAGCAGCATCTGTGGATGGCTTCAGGGTGCCAGTCCACCATTGAGATCGGAATTGAGATGGGGATGTGCAAGAGCAGGTCCCAGGAGGAGAGGGAAGTGAGAGAAGTGGGAATTTGGTCTTGGATCATCTAGTAAACCAGACAGCACGTGTAACCCATCCGAAATCCCATTTCACCATCATCACCTGCACAAGCAGACAGTGTCAGGGGAAGGGAATGGGCAGGGGTTGGAAGATGGTCGAGGATTCCAGACAGGCAGAACCCCATCCTTATTCCCCAAAGGGCCACTTATGACCAGGGGTGGTTATAGGATTAACTACCAAGTTCATTTTCAAAATGCTGCTTTGAACTCAGAGGGTTGATACTTTTAATTTGTAATTTTTTGTAAAACTTTTTACAATATAGTAAAATATCTCACCAGAATACCAGTTTCAATCCGTCCATGGTCTGATTTTTTATATAATTTAGTGGTGCTTTAGAAACTTTGTTTTTGTTGTTTCTGAGCTAAACAGCTCGATCCTTTTTCGCCTGTATCTACCTAAGACCAATGTGAACCTTTGTATTTTGCTCCTAATTTTGGACTCAGTGAAAGTGTACTGTTTACATGTACAGATGCCCCACCCCTGTGTGTTCTGCAAGACTTGCTCTCCTGGAGGAAGATGCACCTCACTAAGCTCACCTGCTTAGCAAAGCCACAAAGCCTCTCATTTCTTACCTATGTTTCCACCTAAAACAAACAGATCAACCTATGGCATACAGAACTTGGATTTGTTGAACACTCTTCTAAACTCAGAAAATTCCTTCAGCATGTCTGATGGCCCATATGCCTTGGTCATGTGGTCCACAGAAGGTGGTGGGAAACCGCGTGAACAGGTGATGAACGCAGGTGGGACTTTGCTGCAGGACTGGGGGGAGGGGAGCAAATACAGCTCTTCTCTGGCAGCCTGGGAAAGATGGGATGACTGACTGACGTGGCCTTTAGGGTCAAGGGGATTTAGGGACAAGAGGTCTTCGGGCCTCTGGCATAATTTAGGCATTTTTTGGGAAAGCACGAGTTCCACACCTGAGAGGACAACTGAAGCCTTTCAGGGCACGTGGTCGAAGCGTTTCTTCTGGGAAGGGGCCGGGGCTTCACGCGTAAGCATATGGCACTTAAAGCAACCGTGGATGGCACCAACTTTTAAAGGTGACCCTTTATTACTTAATCAATGGCTTCACCTCTAAATTCTATTTTTACAGATATGCACCTATGCAACTTAAAGTGGCTCTTCTAAGCAGGTGAGGGCTTCCTCCTCAATGCTCTCTATAAAAATGATTTGTGTTCTATATAGTGAGTTTTTCCAGTAAACGTGGCTTAATATTTTAATTCTTAGAATGTGTCTTCTCTATGTGATGCAACTAAATTCTGTTTTGTTTGTGGAATGACTAGCACAGGCCAACTCCCTCTTCCCATCACTTAACAAAGACCAATGAGCTGTTAATCGAGCTGTTCTCTCCATGGTATTACTTGCTAAATGCACTGATTTCATAAGTATGTGGAATCCTTTTTCTTTTGAATCTGTATATCATATATAAGACTGAATCTACTTAATAAACACTGAATAACAAAACTGATGTCTTATTTCCACTGTGTCCTACCAGCAGAACCCTGCTAGCTAGTTCCCTTCCTTTCAAATAAAATTTTACCCTTAAAGTCCACCAGCGGATCCACCATTGCCCAGCCAGCTCTGGTGACAAGAAGCTGCACTGTCATCCCGAAGGCAAGTGGTTTGAGGCCACCAGCTGCTCTGCTGGAGAAGGATGGGCAATTCCTTCCTGTGTGAGTAACTGTCTCTGAAAACCCACCAGAGGGTCAGCTATGGGTCACTTCTGCCTCTATGGGACACAACAACGTGGATACATGGGATGACACCACTTTAGATGTGGTGTCAGGAGGGTCTAATCCCTAGAGAAGGACACCATGCTGGGTAGAGGGGCCACAGAAAAAGGAAGACACACCCTCCCCCAATAAGCCAACAACACAGTGGGTGTGATGACAGCTCAAACAGCAATGCTCCCAAGAATGGTGTGGAGCCACAGAGTGCCACCTTTTGTTGTGCACAGGGTCACCAAGAGGAATGGCTTGAGGGCAGTGAACAGTAATTCTTGGATCAAGAGGGTCCACAGCTTTAGCAAGGTTGTCAGAGGAATTCAGGATCCCAGGAAGGTCAGGAGCCACTGAGGCTGGTGAAGGAGCACTGTGACCATGGCCTTTCTATCTCTCAGCTTTTCTACGCCTCCGCCTCCATCTTTTGGTAGTTAGAGCCGCATATTCCAGTGTGTCAGACTGAGGTGCAGAGGCAGAGGGTACTGTCAGATTGTGGTCTCCCTAAAGCCAGAGCCCACTCTCCATTGCTTCAAATGGCAGCCAAGGCCAGCAGGTTAAGTGGGTCTCTGAGGTCTCTCAAGGGCATGTGCAAATACACATGTATGTACATATGTGTACACACACATTCTCTCGGGATCTTGCATTCTCAAAAGCCAGTGAGAAGACAAATTAGCTCATCAGGCCAGTTAAAATGCACCCACCATAGTCTGAAGTATCAGGTTTCCATCCTCCAGACTACAAATAAATTAGTCTCTCCTGCTAAATATTAATTCTCTGAATCCACGACTGTTCTGAGCTGTAGTGAGGCCAAGTTCCAGGCCTCAATGTGCAGTTTGTAGGGTACCCTTGGTCCAGTCACACCAGCCACATCCTGATGGGTCTCCCTGGGCACCGAAGAGACAAGCGGCAGTAGCTGCCTTGACCTGGTCCAACCTGGCAGTCATGGAGGATGTCCAGTAACCATCTCACAGATGTGAACCGGGTCGAGAGGTCGGGAGCAGAGGGCCACCCTGCAGAGCCCTGAACACTAACCCCTTGCACCCTCCCTTCTGTCGAAGATATGACCGGGCCCTACAAGCATTACAAGTAAAGATCCATTTTCAAAGTAAGGTCCTGATCCTCCTCATGACACTGAAATGAGCAAGTAGGTTGTCACATGAAAGCAAAAATGACACATCAGTACCCAGGCAGCACAAAGCCATGGAATCATAAATTCTCCAAAGGTAGCACTGCAGAATTAGCATGTGCTGCCCAAAGGGTGTTCTAACAAGAAAAAGAATTTCAAGGAGGCAAAAAGCAATCGTTTTAACTACTCTGTGTGTCTGTCTCGGCACACTCATTTCTGCTTTTGGCCCAGACTCTACTCCACACCTTACGGCTGACTCAGCTAACAACACCCCACCTTCCGCCTGATGCTAGAGGAGTGAGCTGGGGTTCACAGCTTCTCAAGGTCGGAACCCCCCCTGCGGAAGGTAATCAGCCATTAGGAACTCATTCAGCAACCGCATCTCCGTGAGGCAATTGGGATGAGCAGCTGTAAAAAGCTGTCAGCTTTGATTCACAAGGGAAAGGAACTCTTCTGGGTTTTATGAAAAAGTTGCAGCTCCTTGTACACAAAGTGAATGAGCTCTCTTGAGGTGGACTAGCCTCACGGAAGAAGAGCCACCCAGATGAGAAATGAGCTCCAGGGACATGAAAGGAGCTGTCATTTCCTCCTGATCCAGGTTCTACTCCAGCTCGACCCCACCAGCAGGGTGGCAGCAGCCAGAGCATAAATGCACGCTGGACAGGCTTATTTTGTTAATACAAGAGCCATACAAGGGCAGTGCTTTCTCTGGCTAGCCCCATAGCCAAGATCCCATTTCATCTTAGTGGTGGCAAGAGGGCATGAAAGTTAAGCCTCTGCTCTTTGGTGACAACTTGGAATTGGCCTTTCATATTATCATCTCATTGTCAGCTTCTCATATGTGCTTTCACACATGCTTCAGACACTAGAATAACCAGATGAAATGAAAGGAGGGGGAAAGACCTTTCAGATGACATGAGACTTATGGAGTCACACTAATGTTCTACTTCCTACAGAAGCACTCACACAGGGAAACCAAAATTAAACAAGAACTGTCAACTCCACCAGTCAAGAAACAAGTAGGCAGGCAGGATGTGGGGAGAAGACTACTACTTGAATGCTGGGGCAACGAGCTGTCAGGAAGGAGGGGGTGGCATGAATAGCCTTGTTTCCTCCCAAGCCTGCTGTCATGAGAAAAATCAGAAGGATCTGTGGCCCTGTGGCCCGTGGGGGCCTGCTCCCAGGCAGTGCTGACAGGGGGCTCTCCCAGGACCTTACCCCTGAATGCAGAAGCACTTAACAGTGGTAGGGGAAATGACATGTCACATATGGCAGCAGGAAGTCATTAATGGTTCAGGGAGGAGGAAAGATGTGAGGAGTGAAATGCATTCACTTTGCAGTGTGAGCAGCTGCCCTCGACTCTGCAGGCTGGAATGAGCTCGCCCAGTGACCGGGGCCATGGAGCCACCAGCCTGGCCGGTCACAGGTCACTCACTCCACACTCCCGTCGGGCAGCACGGCACTCAGCGGCTCTGACAACAAGTGTAGATAAGTAAATGACACCACTTTAATGCAATGATGCTGCAGACGTAAAATAAGGACGAGAAGTTCGTGTTCTCTGTACAATACATCCATTTACAGAACCGGCCAGTACTGTGTACAACATATAAATACATGATAAAACATTAGAGGTGCATAGAGCATACTTACAGAAGCCAAAAAGTTCACTTTATACATCCAGAAGAGTTAAAAATATAAAAATAAACACACACTGCTTTGAAATGTAAAATGACTTTCACGTACACAGGTGTGTGGAGATGCCCACTCCCGCTGAGTCCAAGGCTACAGAGTGAGGGTGTCAAAGGAAGGGCTCCCTTGCCAAACCTCTGGACACCCGACTTCAAGCTCTATGGATGGCAATGCCACAGGAAAAGAGCCCCATTTCCCTGGCCTCATTGTCCAGGCAGCTCTGGTCAAGGCTCCAAAACATCGTGTGGGCCAGTGGATCGTACTGGGCTCCAAACATGCCTCAGTGAGTGGAGTTGAAGCTCAAACAGGCCCCGACACTGGACATGTGACCATCTGTGACCTGAAGGCCAGCAGCTGCTCCAGCCCCCTGGTGGGGAATGCTGGAGTTACTCTAACCTTAGCTGGCCAGCTTCCCATGAGATGGAGGGAGTGGGCAGTGGAAGACTGACATTGCTACTCAGTTCAGGCAGGTTGGCCTCTGGGAGGGCACAACCTTCTCATTATATATCAAGTCCCTCTGGGCGTCAGCCAGGATCCCCAAGCCACACGAGGCTCAGGCATCAGCTTAGGCAGCCCGGTGGGTCACCCCAAAGCAGTGGTAGGTGACAGAGGGGCTTTAGCACTGTAAATTTTAGGGGGTGGCAAGGGTGCTCTTGCCTAGTGAGACAGCGACCATTATACCAATGATATTCTGTTTACAGCTTTAAGATCAATCATTATCAAAATACACACACTGAACAGACAACTTTTCCCATGGCCATAATTTATTATCTCACCACAAGGCACAATACACAGAGCTTGGAGGGTCCAATACAGTCATCGTGACAGAAGGCGCCACAGCCCTGGCACATGATCATGGCTTTGAGGCTGCAGGCGCACTGGAGCGAGATGCTCTGCACGGTGCTGCTGTCGGTGAACATCTGCAAGGACAGCGAGGCGCTGGGGCTCGCACCGAAGCGGGCCTGGTGGCTCAGCTGCACCACGCTTCCAGCAAGGCCTTTGGGAAAGGTGGGGGAGCTAGAGGAGTAGTTAAAGCTGGTGGAACTCAGTTGGAGTTTAGAAAGCTTCCCATACAACGCCTGCTTGATGTTGAGTTGGGAGGGAATGGAAGAAGGCTGGCCGAGACCTTTCCCAGATTCTCTGGGTAACTTCCAGAAAGGCAGGTCCATGACAAAGGGCATTCCCTGCAAATGATCCATCAGCTCCAGAGGACTCTGCCCAGTAGCTTTTCTGTCCTCCCCATTCACCTTGAGTGGAGTCCCCACAAACGTCTTCTCACTCTTGATGCTACCTGCAGGAGTAGGTGACGGCTTTGGCACCCAGTCTTCCCTTGTAGCCTGCACCTCACTGGACACACAACTTTTGGTTGGCCCCAACTTCCTGGTGGAAACACCAGGTGGTGGAGCGGGGCCCACAGGCCTGGGGCACTGAGGGGCTGCTGTCACATTCCTAGAGCCAAAGAGCTTCTTCCCTTGGCCTCCCACACTATTCTGATCCCCCAGAGACCAACTGGCTTGGTCAGGACCAAAGGAGACAGTGTTTGGAGAGAAGCTTGGGGCTCTCGAGGTAGCGAGTGTCCCTGGACTTCGGCCTGCAGCGGTACTGGCATTCCTGCCCTGGGACAGGTCCCGGGTCTCCTTCGGATCTTCAAAATTGAAGGGAGAGAATGGCTCTTTGGAATTCGGTTCTTCCAGTTTCCCAGAGGGAGCTACTGGACTCATCCCGGTCACAGGATGCAGGGAATCTACACTTGGGACTGTTGTGGAAACTCTCTGGGGTGCTCCTGGGGCTAGGACTGTCAAATCAGTGTGCACTTCCTGGCTTTCACACACAACAGGCTCCTTCAAAGCTCTCAAAGAACTGGGGCTGCTTCTGCCAACTGTGTGACTGTCTTCCCCAGGATCAGAGAGAGGTCCCCTCCCCGCAGAGCTACCCTGGCTCATCTCTCTCTTAAGTGACATTTGAAGGGATTCGGGTCTGCTGCCACCATGGACTGAAGGAAGAACCTTTTCCAGGGGCAATTTACGCTGTAGCAACTGCATTATGAGTGGGCTGGGGGCCTCCACTGAGGACCCGGGCCTGTCCAGGCACACGGGCCTTGGCTGGAACTCAGTACTGGCCAGCAGCAGGGAGTCTGGGATCTTTTGAGGGCCTGCACATACACGAGACACCCAGCTCTGGGGAGCAACCATCCCATCTGTCCTTGTAACAAGACCTGGATCATCACTCATTTTGGTGAGTGAGTTGGACTGGACCCAACTGTGTTTCTCATCCTTGTCCACAACTGAAGATTCCTTCACTGTGATGTCTCCTGAATCTGCCTCACTGCTATCCTCAGTGAGAATGCCTTCAAAGTCAGAGGCTGTGTCTGTGGTTTCGCTGTGAGGGCTGGGTGCCTCAGTGTCACCATTCACATTAAATTTTTCAATGTGGACCTGCTTGCAGATGCTGTCAGTGCTGCTTGTGTCTTGAGATGGGGCTGCCCAGAGCCCAGGAAGGCTGTCAGAAGGATCACGATCCTCCTTGGCTGTCAACCTCCCTAGGAATGCTGGTATGTGGGGAGCAGCTGCCTCCCATGCTTCTCCAGCCTGGAGCTCAACAGACGGTACATTTTCCGTAGAGTTGGGGTCAGACTGTTTTGCTCCCTTGTCATTTGAAAGGTTGAGCCAAGGAGCTTCCCTGTCGGAAATGAGTGCCTCAGGCTGCAAGTTTTCTTGTCTAGCATCAATTTCCCTCAAATGTGAGCAGGAGCTACCAAGTCCTAATTTGCCACTGGATGGTCTGTCCTGTCGGCAATCAGCTAGTAATGTTCCAGGGGTGGAAATGGAGGTCACATTTACAGGATCCTGCATGGTGGGATTACCATCCGGAACCTGGTGAGTGCCTTCTTGCACTACAGTATCTTCCATTACAGATGGAACAGGAGCATCCTCTGGGGGAAGACTGGGTCCTCGGTCCTCAGCATCCTCTTCCCAGGAAGGGGTACCAGACCCACATTCAGTTCTAACATCCAGATGTCCCTCAGAGTGCTCAACCAATCTCTCAGGTACTGGAGTTTTTGAGGACAAGGGGGGCAAGGCCTGGCATGGCTGGTCCCCAGTGGGAACAACAGGGAGTTGGGGAGCATCTTCCAGCTCACTGGTGAGGGCCCCTGGAAGCCGCTGTGGGGTACAGCTCTCCTCCCTCCTGAGAGAAGCCAGGACTTCCGTCTCAGCTCCGGCAGTCCCAGTCTGGGTGTGCTCCCCATTTAGAGGACAAGGCGGCAGTAGTTGTGTTCGCTGTAGATCTGACGTACACTCTCCAGGGGCACTCGGGGCTCCCCTGGACTCAAGGTGGCCACAGGCCTCACCACCATCACCACTGTCGTCGCTTCTGCCACCTCCCTCATCGGTGGCCCCGCCGCCACCTCCACCCGGGCCACCCCCCCCTCCGATGGCAGTGGTGGCCGCCTCTCGCTGGGCTCGGGCCTGCAGAGCACGGGCTTTAATGTCTGCAAGGGTCCTGGCGCCAGTCCGGCCCCGGCTGGAGGGTTCCGTGTTGGGGACGATCCGGGGGCATATCTGGTAAGTGGGCTGACCTTTAACCACCCAGGGTGGTTTGATGCGTGAAAGTTGAATCTGCAAAGAAAGTTTAAAAAAAAAAAAAAGGAAAATGGTTTTAATTGACTGGATGATACAACCTAGCACAGAATTGTAAACTAGTGTCCTGGCCTAGAGAATCTTGTCCTTTTCCTAGAAAATGGACATCACCACCTCTCTGGGTGGCTGTGCAAATCAATGCAGCAAAGACTCCAACATTACGTAATGCAAGATTTAAAAGGCAAAAAGATTCCGACCTCTGAAGAGAAATTCAAGGAAAGTTCTCTCTTGGAGAAAGCTATCAGCCCCCAAGCAATTATTCCAAGGGCCTGCAGAGGGGCTGCAGGGTAGCCAGGAAGCGCAGCTACCTACCCGGATGGGCGGGACTTTGGGCTCTTCTTTAGTGGGCTGTGGCTTTTCGGTGTGAACACTTTCAATTGTGTTACGAAAGGACTGACGGTCTTCAAGCCGGGGTTTCTTTTCGGGAAAGGATGCAGAGGCCGCCTGCTCAAAGGATTTCCTCTTCTGGTCCTTAGGCTCCTGATCCGCAGTCTCCTGAGGCAAGCTGGGCATTCTGTCTGGAGCTGCAGAGGCACATGCCAAGGCATCCGGCTCGGTCTGGGTCTGAGAAGCTGCCGGTTCAGCTGGGCACTCAGGACGCTCTGGGCTGGGTGCTGGAGAGGAGACGCCTGGCTGGTGGGGATTGCTCACCCCCGCCGGGTCGGCCTTAGCCTCTCGATCCTTGTAGAGGGGGATGTCTGGTGCCACAGATTTCACGTCCTTCACAACCCCTGCCGATTCTGGCTCCTGCTTTTTGTATAGATTCCTTCTGGCTCTGGTTCGGAGATCTGGCCGAGAACGTTTCTTGAAATGCCCATCACGCTGCCGAGTAGCTAGACCACGCTGCGGCCTAGTCGATTCTCCTGAGACATGTAACTCACTCTTGATTTCAGCCTCCTCCTGGCCCAAGCTCTGCTGCAACGACTCTTCTTTGGTCAGACCCAACCTGAAACCAAACCCATACCATCAGCTATAAGAATAACGGTACTCAGGTATACAGGTAATTCAGAACACAATAAACACAACAGAAGTCTGCATGATGCTAATACTTAGCACAAAAAACCAAAGCTTAGCTTCACTATGAATAGCATTAACTAAAATGACCTGAGTGAAATGCACACAAGCACAAGAACTGGAAGATCATCTGCCTCAAACTTCCCCAAAAGCCCAGACTAAGACACATAGCATTAAAGGCCTTACTTCTGTCCATAGTAGTCTTCAAAAAATTTTTCTTTCCATTGCTCCACCTTCTTTTCTTTCTCCATTTCCTGTCGTATCCTGACTTGCATCTCATGTGTGAATTCACCTAAAGAGAAAGAAATCTTTTGTGGTGAGCGTACTCAGGGTATTAAGATCCGTCTGCGGACCGCCAATTCTTCTGTGTCAGGAATTTTTAGAGTACATGTGACTTGGGAACCACTGTGGGTGGGAACTCTATCTCCTTTGTGTGCACGCCCATCTTCACCCTCTGAGAACATGCTCATACTCAGGACAGAGCAGAAATTACTCATCCCTGTATCAATCAATCGGCCATTCAACAGAAAACAACACGTTTTCCAAAAAGAAAAACTACATCCTTACTCCCTGTGCAGAAAAGAATGTATATAATAGACCAACTGCTTATCAGAAAGAAAGCCTGCTAACCTTGGCTGTCATCTGAGAACTTGGATTTCAGGACTTCCCTGTCACCCAGACTGATAAAAGCGGCTCACTGTGCCTAAACTGCTTTTGCAAACAATATGGTTTACACTGAACATCTGCTTTCCTTTTAAGAGTCTGGATTTTGAGTACATGCCAGGCAGGTTGCCTATATGATCAGTCCCTAAGAAAAACCTTAACAATCTTCCCAGAAAAATAACATTTCACATGTACTGTCACAACTCATTGCTGAGGGGGCAGTAAACATGCCCTGTAAGACTCCACTAGTGTTTGTTGCTCCTCCCCTGCCAGACTTTGCTCCACGGGCTTTTCCCTTTACAGAGTTTGTTAGTATTCGTTCGTGGTAAGAAGTCATAGCAGTGAGTACAAATATATGCTGAGCCACGTGATTTCTCCAAGCAAATCATCAAACATGGAGGGGATCATGGGGACCTTTGGACACCTTCCAGAAACACAGCCCATGTTTGCTCAGCAAAGAAATTCAAGTAAAGATCACACTAACGGAGGTTACCACTGGTGACACCAGACCGACCTCAGCTCAAAGCAAAGCATACCTGAAAGACGCTTACAAGCATTTTATTGACTATGCAAAGGCATTCAATTTTGTGTGGGTTAAAGCAAGTTATGGTTAAAACAGAGAAGAATGGAATTCTTAACTACTGACAGAGAATCTGTACACAGACCAAGAAGCAATAATTCTAACAGACAAAAGGAATAATGCATGGATTAAAATCAGGAACTCCTAGGAGTATGTTAGGGTTGTATCCTCTCATCATCGTTACTCAATCTTATGCTGAACCAATAATCGAAGAAACTAATTTATAGAAAGAACTAAGCATTGTGAATAAGAGAAAGACTCATTAATAAACAACCTGCAACATGTAGATGAAAGAACATTGCTTGCTCAAGGTAAAGACGACCTGACGATATACTGATGAAGATCACAGACTACAGTCTTCAATATGGGTTGCACCTCAACATAAAGAAGCAAAAATCTTTATAACTGGACCAATAAGTAGTATGATGATAAATGCAGATAACGGAAACTGGCTAAGGACCTGTTAAAAGTTCTAGAGAGCAACAGTTATCACACTGAGGACACAGATGTGCCTGATCCGATGCAGGGAATTCAATCACGTCGCGTGTGTGTGTGTGCGTGTGTAGAGACAGATACATAAATATCTCACCTTATACATCTTTATTTATATATGAGACAGCGAGCGTGCGAGTGTGAGAGAGCATATGCATGCTCTGGTGCTTAGTGCTAAGAAGTTGCGCTGCCAACTCAAAGCCATGCAGTTTGAATCCACCAGCAGCTTCTCAGGAAAAAGATGGGTAAAGCCCTCCTATGCAATATTGTTGTTGTTATGTGCTGTTGAGTCGCTTGCGACTCATAGCGACTCTATGTACAATAGCCCTAAACTCTGCTCTGTCCTGTGCCAATCGCACTGTCTCTGACACACTAATCCCTATTACCCCAGTCACTGAATCAATCCACCTCATAGAGGGCCTTCCCCTCCTGCGCTGTCCCTCCACCCTCCCAAACAGGATGTCCCTCTCCAAGGACTGGTCTCTCCTTACAACATGTCCAAAGTATGCTAGATGGAGCCTCAGAATCCTCGCCTCCAAGGAGCCGCGCAGTTTAACCCTTTGCCATATACTCCCTTTAAAAACCTGCTGGAAGGTCAGGTCTGGGTCAGCTCCAACTTGATGGCACACAATAGCAACAATAACAGCAAAGAATAAGGAAAATGGAAGAAAAATGGGAAAACTGATGTTACACTATTGTAGTATTGTACTATTATAATTGTAATAATCAAAATACCCTGGAATGCCAAAAGGACAAACAAATGTATCTTGAATGAAGTACAGCCAGAATGTCCCTCAGAAGTAAGGATGGCATGCCCACTTTGGATAGTTGTCTTTATTAGGGGGGCCCAGTCCTTGGAAAAAGACCTTGTGTTTGAAACTGTGGTATAGTCATGCAATGGAATACTATGCTGCACTGAAAAACAAGGAACTCATGAAATATTATACAAAATGGTGACCCTGGAGGACATTATGCTGAGTTAAGTATCCCAGTCACAAAAGGACAAATATTACATACATAGTGTCAATGTTGTAAAGTGGGAATGACATCAGAGCTGGGGGGAAACTAAGGGGATAAATAATGTATACTACAGTGAAACAAATGAGGGAAAGACTATTTAGGAGGAATATATGATTAGGTATTACTGTCATGACAAGAGTTCAGAATGAAAACTGCACAGTGGAGTGAACTGGGGCAGGGGGGACTGTATAACAATAAATTATTTTTTTTTTCCTTTTCAAAGAGAAAAGCAAACTGTGGGGAGGGGTGGACAGGGAGGAAAGTATGCAATTATGAATGAATGGAAATTAAAGTCTTTGTAAACTTTCATTAAAATAAATTTTTTTAAAAAAAAAAACCCTTAAGATGGCCTGACAAAGCTGGCTTCAAAAATGGGCTCCAGCTCAGCAGTGACTGAGGATGGCCCAAGAGCAGGCAGTAATTCATTTCAGTCTATACTACACAGGGTTACTATGAGCAGGAATCTACTTGATGACACCCAACAACACAATAATCACAACACATACAAATGCTTAGGAGAAAAAACTCAACCAGGTCACTGCCACAGTGCACTATCATTCACCTACGCAGACAAAACTACTAGAAAGAATTAGAGGTTCTAGTGTGCTCGCATGGAGAGGAGACACAGGCTAGCTATAAACACAGAGTATAGTCAAAGTTAACAAGCACAGAAAGCCCACCATTAAAGGAATAGTGACTGATCAAACCCCCTGTACTGTCTTTAGAGCTGTGTGGCATGTTAACACCTACCACATTCATCAGACATGTGAGAAGAGCCTGCTTTATACCAAATATCCCTTGAGAGAAAAGAAAGAGGTTAATGAAAAATGAGTGCTTGGGTCTGAAATAGCAGGAGGCACGTAACACCACACATGGCAGGCGCATCTTGAGCCGTTAAGAGATGATGAAGTCTACCTACCGTCAGCCAGGCGTTCCCGCCAGCTCTGAGCCGCATGGGTGAAAAACTCATTATTCAGTGCACTGCTACTGAGACGTAATAGACCATCTGTCCCCACCTAGAAGATCAAGGGAAAAGAAATTACAAAACCTAGAGAACAGAAACCTACCCACCAAAAGACAATGAGGTGGCTGCACAGCCCACCTGTCTGTCCACTTCAGGCAGGAGGAAGAGCAGCTGCTGCTGGAAGTGAGACGGGAGGGCGTGGAAGGTCCGAGAGTTGATGAGGGCGCGCAGGTTGGTGTTGACAAGAATGGACCCGGGCGTCTCAAAATCTATCTCCTCCCCTCTGTTGCGCTTCATCTGACCTGTGATTTTTGGAGCAATAAGAAGTAAGATACAAGTTTTCATCTTCTTAAAGGGAAAAAGCAAGTGCCAACTGAGATAAAAAGGCAGGTGACAGCACCAAGTCACCCAGGCTTTTCTACAATCTACTCGGTCTTCAATTCACCCTAATTTGCATTTTACAACTGTTCTTTCCAGTTTACTGAGATTATCAGTAAACCGAGGACACAGCTGGATTTGCCCTTTCAGACAGACAAACCAGCCAAAAGGGGGCACTATTCCCAAGAAAGACTGAGTTGGTTGGGAGCAGGTTCTCGGTTTCTCAACTGGAGAAAAGGTTACGCAAAGCCCATTTGGAGAAATGTTAGAAGCTGTCTAAAAGCAAATTTTGTTAGTGTAGGAAAACCTTGTTACTACAGGAAAATCTGCAGAAACCTTCTGCGAAGGGACTGGAGAGGTATGATCTACATGCAGCATTGTTCAAAGCCAACCCAAATGTCAATATGTTAGAAGCCTAAGGAGGAGTTACTTTTACTTGAAAAATCACTAAGACTAGAGACCTATCACATTAAAATTAGAGACCTATCACATTAAGCACTGCTGCCGATTTGGAAAAAGAGCAAGACAGCATATCTAGTTTCCATTTGAGCAACAAAATAGTTTGAATTTTTAGATGTAAAGTCTTAATGATTTATTGTGGCCCACCTTATTTTAAAAAAGCACGACCTCTAAGAACTAAATCTGAGACAGCAAACTGCATACTTGATATGGAATAATTCCTGTGGGAGGTCAGGGGTGGGGACCCTGTAGCATTATTGAATTTGCTTGTATCCCCAATATTCAACATATGCTTCCATTAGGCTTACTGAATGGTTGAAAAAAAAAAAGGGAAATTCTGGTAGAAATTATACCGTAACATGGCAGGATGCCACCAAAGGAAACTTAGCAGTACCAGGTCAGACACCAAGCTAGGCCTTTACAGGGTCAGAGCAAGGACCTCTCCCAACCTATCAGAGAATATTTAGAAATAAAAATTAAGCAAAATACAAGGTCATACAAACAAAAACTAAGAGGGCTACCCAAGAGGTAAACAGTAAGATACAGAAATAGAAGACAGCATCTTCTCATTAGGCCTGCAGATAAATTTACAGGCAGAAAAACGAGTGCCAAGCCACTCACTCACCTGTGGCCGGCTTCCGGGAACCTCTCAGGAGCTGGGCAGAGTCCCTGGAGACCTCGGCCTGGCCACGAATAGCGGCGCTGCTCAAGGCCAGAGAGCCGCTGCTGCTGCTGGATGGGCTGCCACTCTCGCCGTCGGCGTGGCGGCCAGAGAACCCTGAAGGCACAGCATTCCACCGGTCAAAGGTATCACAGTCTGCACCCGGGGCTCTCAGCACTTACTTCTCCCAGTTCTCCCAGAGATGCTGCCAACAATGCCAGGTGCTTCTACATTCCAGCCCTGTCCTGATACTACCACAGCCTGGCTTTAAATCATCCTAAGAATGCCAAACCACTACCTCTATACAGGCATATACTGCTTTCAAAGTACCTACACGCTCCCTGATCGGCTCCTATGACCACCCTGTGAGAGGAGGGCACAGAGGGTAAGCACCTACACTGGGTCTCACCCCCACCGTGCTGCCTTCAGAGCTGGGTCTCCTGACTCTAGCTAAAGAGGTGAACTGGCACCACAGTCCCAAGGTCAGAAGTGGGTGACAGGGAGGGGACCTGAGAAAGCAGTACCATGACCATGATGCACACATACCTGATGCAGGTTCCAGGTGGGCCCCGTTTACCTTCAGAGGAGTCAGGACAACTCGAGGCAGCATCACCCCAGTCTTTTTCTTTTGTTTGTTTGCCTATTTTCCAAGAGGGAATGAAAAAGATCCTTGAGTCATATGCAGGTCCATAATTATCCTTCCGTCTCAGCAGAGCATCTGGTGGCTTTGAACCGTGCATCTCAGGGACTGCAGTACAGCTTCTTGCCACTAGGCCACGAGAGCTCACCAACAGGACTCTCTTGACCTAGCTCTCTTGGGCAGTGTGAATTTAACTGGCCTAGTGGATAACCTCCCAGCACTGACAGGTTACTGAGCTATGTGTTGGCCACACTATACGCAACACCATTTCTGCATGTCCTTATTCTAAACTGAAAAGAAATGTACTCTATAAATATGTAATTTGTTTAAAATTCTAAACTAGTAAGTAGCAGGCCCTTAACACAAACTGAGGTCTCTCTTTCTAAGCTCAAGTTCGCATCACAACTCTGTGCTACACTCCTCTTTTAAGACATCCCCCACCTTATTACAATCACAAAGAAAAGTTATTCAGTCAAGCAGAAACAAACAAGCAAATTATTCTGTCTCAAATCTACGGTCCACTTTTCCCACATCGTTCTCTTACAGGACAAGAAGACCCTCTATGAGATGGATTGATTCAGTGACTGGGGTAATCGGGATGGGTGTGTCAGAGGCAGTGCGACTGGCACAGGACAGAGCAGGGTTTAGGGCTGCTGTACATAGGGTCATAGAGTACATAGAGTTGCAAATGACTCGGCGGCACATAACAACAACAACAACAACAGGTAACCAAACTTAAGTTTCTCCATTCTTCTCACATCTGCCCTCACCCATCTTCCCAACCACGTCACCACCTCTCCCAACCTGTGAGGAAGCTCTGTAGCTGTCCCTGGAATTGGAAAGAAGTCGACTCTGAGATTCGGCAGAACAGGATGCATTTGAAGACGTTTCATCAAGAGATACTGGAAAAGAGGAAAATAAAGGTTAGTCCCTCAAGAATGCTTGTGGCTCTTCGCTCATCTTGTTAAGGGCACTTACCATCATTTTCGCCACTCACAGTGCTAGCTTCATTAGACCCACAGCTCTCTGCATCTGCTGTGTCCTCTGGCTCGTCTCCCTCCACCGGAGCTGGATTACGAGACCACTGCAGGGCATCCTTCTGTGACAGTAAGATATAACCCAGGTAAGCAAAGTCTCATACATTCTATCAACACACTGCTGAGCCATGGAGTGGATTCCAACTCTTAAAGACTGTATAGAACAGAGGAGAATGGCTCTAAAGGGTTTCCTAGGCTGTAATCTTTATAGTCTGCCAGCAAGAAGCTTAATCTAATGGGGGAGGAGAAAATAAAAATACTACAGTACAAAACAGGGTCACAGGTATATATAAGAACTGTAGAAAGTATCAGGGGAATAAAGCAACTAAGCAAACATGAAGAACTGAACAGAGTTCTAAAAGAAATTAGTCCCTAGGCAAATGGGTTCATAGTGGAGTGAAAGGAGGTAGGGGATTTTGAAAGTACAATGAGCAAACGTGAAAGAACACTTCAAACTCAGAGAAACTTAGATTTCAGCAAGGATGTGGGAAGCTGGATAAGTGAAGATACTAGTAGAGGGAAGACTAACAGGCAGTATTAAGAAAGACACTTTCCTAAGGGATTGTTTTTTATTGTTTTGGAGTCTTTGATGGGTACTAATCAGGTGAACAATCTATATTTCAGGGAAGCTTGGAACCAGGGAGAACTGTTAAGACACCAGAGATGTACACAGAAAAAAAAATGCTGAAGATCTGAACTAAGGTCCCAACAGTGAGGTCTGAATGCAGAGGAAAGCTCCATCTCACTTTTCATGACCTATCAGAGGCTTCTTCCAACAGGCTCTGTCCTACAGCCTCAGACTTAAACTCTTCTCATTCCCCAGGAGCTGCCTGATACCTCGTAACAGGGAAGGAATGTGAGTGAATCCTGGAGGTTGGAAGAGAGAGGAGCAGAGACAGAAGTTCTAAGGAAGGGAGTAGTCTATTATAAAGGTGTGTCAAGAAAAGCAGGTATAAACATGATTCTACCTCATAAAATTATACTACAAATCTTTATGAGGACCAAAAAGCTTATCAATTTCAAGGTTCCTCCCATCAACTATATTAACTGTTCACTAGTTTATGTTTATTCACTTAAGCTAAAACCATGTTGACTTTAATAAAAAAAGAAAATTATTTTTATATCTTTATCTTTTTTCCTTACAGGATTTAAATGCTCCAGAATCAAAAGCTAAAGAACATTTTTAGTATTAATCTTAAGATGTTTACAAACTGACATTTTCTTGAAAGAAATGTAATCTCTGAGTCTCACAGGTCAGCTGAGATAGAATATTTATTACTGAGCAGGGGGAATCTACTGGCAAAAAATAGTAAAATAGTGAATATAGTGAAAATAGTATAAAAGGTTCTTATACTGTCAGTGGGAGAGGAGACTTTTAGCAAAAACCTAAAAAATGTATGTATCTTTCACCTCCAAGTCTTAACATTTCCAAGTCCCAAATTTGTACAAAACATAAAAAGCATTCACTTATAAGGAAAAAAGAAATCAAACTAAACTGCATTAAAAACAGACAAAAGAAAATAAATACACACATATATATACATACATACATACATACAAAGGCAAGTTAATCTACAGTTAGGATGATAGTGGCAGTCTATAAAACGAAATAATTTGTATCTAGACTATATACATAACAAAAAGCAAGCCAGAAAAAACACTTAAAAGATGTGCATTCAGCACAACATAAAAAGGGATACACAGATAGGCCAACTCAAGTCATTGCTATCAAGGTGGAACCAACTCATAGCTGACACTTCAGCAGGTGTTTGGAGGAAGAGACTATTTCTCTTTCTCTTACAGACTCACAGGTAGAACTGAACTGAGCAGTGACACCTTTGGGTTAGCAGTGCAATTCCATACAGACTACACCACCAGAGTTCCCTATTGAGCTAATAAACATATGACAAGATATTTAATTTCATTAACAAGAAAAACACACAAGAATGAAAATTAGAAGCATAAGGAGATACCGACATAGCTACTAGAATGCCTAAAAGCAAACATTTGACAAAATCAAGTGCTGATTAAGAAAGTAGAAAAAGTACATAGCATATTGATCCAAACATCCTAAAAGGCAGAAATTTTATTCCCAGGTGTGGATTCCTTAGAGAAAGACATACACCAGACAGCATATAATAAATGTTCAGGGCAGCATCATTCCCAAGAGGCCAAACTATAAACACTGAAGAGTTCACCAACAATAGAATTAATAAAGAAAATAGTGTAGTCATAAATGAACTATTATTACACAGCAATAATACAAATTAATGGACTAATAAAGTGACCTGCAATTCAGATGAATCTTTAAAAAAATACTGAATGAAAAAAAGAAGATACAAAAGAATGCATATTGTATTGAGATTCCATTTGTAAAATCTTCAAACAGGCAAAACAAATTATATTGCTAGGAATGCAAACACAAGTAGAAAATAAGTAAAGAAAAGCAAGAAACTTACTTCCATGAAGTCAAGATAGTGGTTCCCTTTAGGGGGGAAATAGGAATCATGACTAGAAAGAGGTACAAAGGAAAGCCTGCCTGATTGACTATGTTTTACGTCTTGACCTTGGTATTCAGTTAGAAGGGTGTTCATTTGTAATATTTCACTGAGCTGTACATTTGTGTTCTCTGCATTTTACTGTGCTGTAAATCTATAATTTAAAAAAAAAGTCTGTAAGCAAAGGAAAACTAAAGCCATATTAAATAAAGATACAGAAAATTAAATGCCTAGGAAAATGCTGATAACACAGCTACCGAATGAAGCTGTTGACTTCATATAGTAAGATTTCATCATATTTATAAAAATAAATCCACATGAGTAAATCTGCACAGAAAAATCTAGGAAGGCAAAAAATATTCTCAGTCAAGTGTTAGCCATTACTCCCTTTGGGTGCGGAGCTGTGAGCACTGTGCTTTATCTATGATTTCTGGAGTTATAATTAACATGCACTGTTTTCATAACCAAGCAAGTAAGATTACAACCTCCGGGGTCAGTGAATGTGTGTTAAAGGCGAGGGATGGTTCAGAAAAGAAGGGTGAGAATATTTGCACAGCTCAAAGATTAGAATGTGTTAGTGATTATAAATGTAGAAGCTGCTGAATTGGTCTATGTTTTGTTGTGCATGTTTTCAACAACAAAATAAAGACATTTCTTAAAAAGAAATATATTTTTATTTTACAAAGAAAAGCTGGAGTGTGAAATGTTATACCAAATGAAGTAATAATTTCCCTTGAGGCCCTAGACATGACCTATGTATGCATTAGTTTGCTATATTGTGGTGGCTTGCTGTGTTGCTACTGTAACACTGGAAAACATGCCAACAATATTGCAAAGAGGACCTCTGGTAGTTTAGTGTTAAGAGTCCCACTGCCAACCCAAAGGCACAAAGTTCAACACTTTTCAGTTGCTCTGAAGGAGAAAGATGGGCAATTTCCCCTTTGCGATATACTGCCTCTGAAAACTCACTGGAGGGTCAGCTATGAGTTGGTTCTAACTTGACAGCACATAAAAACAAGTGTTTCAAATACCAACAGAGGCACATTTGAGTGGAGCTTCCAGATCAACAGACTATGAAGCAGAATGGGCCATCCACTTTTAAAATAGTAACTCTAACTCTAAAATAACTATAAACTGACTTATAGCTCACTCTCCAGTGGGCTTTCAAAGGCTTCTGTAAAGCACATGTGAGGTTGCCAATCTTCCTTCTGCTGAGCCACTGGAGGATTCAAACCACCAGAAGGCACTATCTTTGGTTTTGTAGCACGATTTCCCTAGACTACGCCAGCAGAACTCCCTCTAAAATAACAGGCCTTTGAGAACACAATGTATAGTGGTGGAACATTATCTGATTCAGTGCCAGAGGAAAGATGATGCCCTCAATTAGGAAGGAATTCAAAATATGCCAGGAAGAGAGTTAGCCTCCTCAAACTTAAGTCTACCCTAAATGCTCGGCTCCACAGTCAACACTCTTGGCACCAGCAGTCAGGAAATCAAAAAGCGTATCGCGATGGGAAAGTCTGCTGTTAGGGACCTCTCTAAAG